TACCACAAAATTATGTTGCGTCCATTGTCATTCGACAGAATTAGCTCTCAAAATCTCCGCATTTAACTTCGATGACAATCCCACCAGAATGGAATGTCCAGACACGGACTGGGGAAGGAGTCGGTTAACGACCTTCCCTAGTAGCTTGGAAACCATAATGCAAAGGTCGGAAGTAGTTCATTCACATACTGTAAACTTCAATCATGCTTGTGACTGGAAAGATGTGTACATAATTTTAGTTCATCTGGCGAAGATTGGAGGAGCCAACTTACTTGACTTTCAACTATCGAAGAATAAGTCAAGACAAGCGCTATCACGTGGTTATGGCAGACTTTGATGAGTTTAAGATGGACTTGAAGATTGAGCGAGTGACGCCGAGCGATGAAGGCGAATATATATGTCTCTACAGGGGGGAAAAACTTGTCCACGAAAAACACGTCTATTTAAAGGTGCTCGGTAAGTCCTGGTAAAGTGGTTTTTTCAACTTTTTGGACTAAAATTACCAAAGCGAGTCCAAAATAAGGCAATTAAGCTTGACAACATGGGTGAAAAGACTGATTTTCCTGGGAATGGTACTTTACCTTTGTGTTAGCAGTACTTAAGGGACACACTCTTAATGCAGTTCCACCATTTATAAATCCGAATGGATCCTCGAATACCAGAGTCGTTGTCCGCGAGGGGCTAACCCAAAAACTGATATGCAACGTATCCGGCGTTCCTGCTCCAACAGTCAAGTGGTACGTAAGCACAACCGACGGAAAAGCGCGGAGAGTCATCACCGCCAAAGATCAGCCACGTACGTTTTACTCATATAACACAATAAAATCACAACGAACTCCCACCAATTAGGGACAGTAGAATCTTGCTCTAACTTACTTTTCTGCTGCAAACAATTACGTCCATTACCTGACGCCGGTTTTGCAGTGCCAAATGTTCCCCGTGCCAAGACTTGAGGCTTCCACTGTTGAACAACGGGAGCCGCTCTTTAATGTCGTTAATTTCAATTTTTGTGCTTTCAAATCGTTTCAGTATAAATAGTAAAATTTACCTACACTTCGATAAATACCTAAACACATGATAGTAAACTAGCAGACGTGTGTGTCTTCGAGTGAAAAACAGGTGGAATGTTTCAGCGGTGAACACTCATCTCCCATTTTGCATGAATCTGCGGTTTAAGGAGTTTTTTAAATGAGGTAAGCAAAGTTATTAAAAGGACTATTTCGACTACAGGATTTCTTCTCTCCATCAGCGCCCTTATAATATCAAACGTCACAAGGGACCTTCGTGGGGTGTTCACTTGCGTTGCCTACAATGGCATTGAAGGGAAGGTCTCCAGGAACATCCATTTAGATGTCTATTGTGAGTTATTAGTTAGACTTTTTGTGCACTGAATGCATTTAAAAACTTAATAGCTTGAAAAATCGCAATTAATTTTGTAAAGCCTGAATGCAATATGATAAAAAAGGGCTCTCATTTAACAAAACACTGCTAACGAGTGAAGTCAGAATGAATTCTGTCAAACAGATACTCGAGCACACAAACATTTCTTATGCATAAACAGACCACTAGAAACAGCTAACTTGACCGAAAGTGAAGTCAAGAGAGTGGGATCCAAAGCGAAACATTTTGGCTTGGAGAACTTCAATCAGAGAGACTAAAATTGCTTCAGAAGTTTAGGACGTCTGTAATTCGAACAGAAGCTTGGAAAGGTACTTCATTCCCCTCCGACGCAAGGCGCAGCGATACGACTCACTTTAGGGCATTATTAAGGCCGATATTTTATGCATTAGAAACGAACTCGTCTCTCCGCGTACTCGGCAAAAAGTCAGCAATAAGTACCCAATTTGAAAGCGTCAAACATGTTAACAAAGTGGAAATTGACGCGTGTTCTGTACTTGTTCCGACTTCCTCTTCTATTTTAGTTCGTCCCGTCGTAAAAATGAGCGCTGAGGTAATCTACAGGAAGCCCTATCAAACAACTATGATTTTTGCTATTGTCATTGGCAATCCAATATACAGTCTTTACTGGGAGTTTGACCACAAACCCATTCGTAGTGTCAATGGTGACTGCTTCTTCACACTGTCCGGTGATAAGTACTGCGTTGTCTCAGGTAACCGCAGCTTCCTACTACTGAGGTTAATATAAGTCGCGGTAGAAAGTCGAATTAGGAGTTGCTATGACTTACCAGGTAGTTTTGACGTTTCTCGAAATAGCTCGCCCTCTCAGTGGCTTGAGTGCCCACTCTTCATGAGATTGCGGTGAAATTTTAAGAGAAGCTGGTACCACATTGCAAAGATTCCTCTGCAGGATGCGAGCCTCAACCATGGTTGTAAAACAAGGGCCGTTCTGGTGTTATTTTTACCACATGGGATTTATGGGTGTGATAAAGCTGGTACATTTCCAACAATTTTCCTTGGATTGTAGGATTTATAGCGGATTTTAAAGACATCACATTTTTTATCAAAACATTGTCCAACCTTACTCCACCACTTGTCCCATCAAAGCAATGAAGCTTGCATGGTGCTGCTCCATCCGATTTTGATGGGTGAATAGAGCTGCTGTTTATGTTGTTTCAGATCGTGAAACCGCAAATCCCATGACAGTAAGGACAAAGCTCACAATTTACAACTTGACTTTGGACGACTATGGAACATATACGTGCGTGGTACACTCGCCCTTCGGCATGGAACGTGGCTCCACAAAGCTTGTGCGTAAGTAGCGCCTCCTGCTGGCACACTGTACCCGTTACCATGTCATCAAATATTGAACGTATTTTAGGGGAAAAAGAAAAAAGACCGGACTATCGTAAGCTATGTAAACCCTATCTACTGGATTTAAAATTGCATCAATGTTCCAATGGTTAAACGTTATTCCCCACAAATATTTAAAGAAAAGCTTAAAATCAACACTCTTTCGCTTATCTTCTTCTTCCCAGTGAAACCAGACGAGACTAAATTCTTTCCAACTTTATGGAATCCATCGTCTTGGAGGGCCAGTCAGGGTGAATATGCCTCCCAACAAACTCCAAAGGCCGCAACATCTGGCGAACCGAAGAAGTTTCTATCACTCTTTCTAAATGTCCTCATTGGCGTAAACGCTTATTTTTTGCTGCCGCTTTGATCCTCTACTTATTTATTTGTGTATATACAATGATGGTGAAAGACTTCTAATACCATTGAAATTCGCCT